AGGAGTGGGGGTTCACTTCCACCTGTAGATACACAATGCTGACCACAGGGTCAGAGTCACTCTGGGATCACTTGACAGAGCTGCCTCTCATTGGGCCAGGTGGCAGTTGGACGCGGATATGAGGTGCGGGGGGACCTGGGGTTAGGCACCTAGGGTGGGCAACAGGAGAGGGGCCACCAGGCACCCCCACCTGACCCCCAGACCTGTGGACGTGGCTCCTCATAGTACACAAGAGCCCTGCAGAGGACGCGGTGAAGGGTCTGCAGTGGGAGAAGACCCTCATCACTTCAGGACCTGTGGGGTCACAGGGAGGCAGAGAGCCTGGGACATGCCCCGCGGCGGGGCCTCAAGACACTGGAAGGGATGGGTGGTGCTTCCCCCGGAGCTAAACCCCGATTGTTTCAGTCGAGACCCATGTGGGACCCACTGACCCCCCAACAGTGAGGCCAGAAATCCACATCCACAGGACACAGTGTCACACGCCTGACCTCGTGGCCACTGGGAGGGAAGGCCCTCTAGGCTGTGGGCTAGGGCCTCCTGATGGGGCTTCTGTGGTGTGGGTGCCATGGCAGCTGCACCTGCACCTGTGTGCCTGCAGGTGCCACCTGACCCCACCCAGGTCCTAAGGTCACTTCCTGGTTAGTACGTGGGGACTGTGACCGCTTCTTTAGAGTAAGCAGCCTGCGGTTGAGTGGGTGAGCACACGTCCCCACCGCCTGTCCCCAGGGCGAGTGTGAGGACCCTGAGACACACCCCCTCCCAGGATGTGAGTGTAACCTGGGTGGGCTTTCCATCCTTAGGCCCCTGGAGTTCTGGTAATACGTGGCCCTGGGGACCGCTCTAGAGGGGTCTTGGGAGTATCTGTGACCTGATCTGTATCAAGCTGCTATTAGCACTGATCAACATCAAGAAGTAGGACTCACACCCAAAAGTAGGGGTTGCTACGAGCCAATCCCTCATGGTAACCCCATGTGTGTCAGGACAGAGTGTGCTGCATTGCCAGTGGCCGGGTTCTGAAAGGAAGCCTGTGTGGCCTTGTAGAGCCAACAGCCTTGGGGAACCAGCGAAGCAAGCTCGCCGTTGTGCCGCGGGGTTGGCTCTGAAAAGCAGTAGAGGGAGTGAAAGGTGAGAAGAAAAGGTGTCAAGGATCTAAGTTCGATAGGAAAACAACAGCCTTGCCGCTGATCCCAGTATAAATGGACTAAACTTTCCACTGGAGTGAAGTTGGATTAGAGAAGGAGGCAAAACCCGTTACTAGGAATACAGGAAGAGAGGCTAAAAGCAAAACTACAGGGAAACCGCGCAACGCAAACGCCAGCGGAGAAATGACCGCTATTATCCAGCGCTGTGCCGGATCTGCAACGAATGGACCACGGCTGGATCCCGCGCCATCCGCACACGGGTTCTGATGCTGCCTGGGCCCATGGCTGCAGCCACGGTGTCCCTCCACTCCAGAGAGCGCCTTCCTCTTTTCTGCCGCCCCCCTGCTTGACCAAGCACGATGTCTTTCTCCAGGGACTGGTCTCTCCTGAGGAGGACACGCCCACAGCCCATGAGACAAGTGGCCGTAGTCATAGGAGCATTCTGGTTATACCTCCTCTAAGACAGTTTGCTCTTTTGGCAATCCACCGTACTCTATTCTTCACCAGCACCGTAATTGAAACGCACCTAGTTTCCTCTCGTCTTTTGTAACGTCCAACTTTTCCGTGTGTATGATTAAAAAGACCATGGCTTCGATCGGGCTCACCTTAGTTCTCAAAGTGAACATCCTTGCTTTGCCACACTTCAAAGAGGAAGACAAACACCGAGCGAATGTAATGAATGTTTGTCACCCTTGGGTTTTCTGGGGGTCTAAGCCTACAGAATGGATTACAACTCAATGTAAAGAAAACGAAAATACAACCGAACCAACGGGTAGCACTGGAGACCAGATGGAAGTTGTCCTGGATTGCATCCTGCTTGGATCCATAAGCAATGTTCTTGGAAGCAGCCATTGAGAGCTCAAAAGACCCGCTGCTGTGGGTCAATCCGCTGCACAAGACCTTTAAAGGGCTGAAGATAGCTGTTACTGGAGAACTAACGTGCTCCCAACCCACGCCACGACATGTTCAGGCACCTCGCGTGACTGTGAAAGTTGAACATCGGATAAGATAGAGCAGAAACGAATCCAGGCATTGAATGCTGGTGCTGGCGAAGAATAAGGAAAGTACAGTGGGCTGGCGAATGAACCAACCCCACTGTCTTAGAAGAAGTCCGGCCAGACTGCTCCTCAGAGGCAAGGACAGTGAGACGTCATCTCAAGGACTTTGGACGTGTTGTCAGGAGAGACCAGTCCCTGGAGAAGGACCTCATGCTTGTTAAAGGATCAGGCATAGAAAAAGGAAGACCTTCTACAAGGTGGATTGACACAGTGTCGCTGGGCCCCCAAATAAGAACAATTGTAAGGTTGACACGCGACCAGGCAGTGTTTCCTTCTGTTGTACATCAGGTGGCTAAGAGATGGAATCAATTCGACAGCACCGAACACCGCAGCTCCTCAGAGAAGACATCCTGTTCCTTCTTTGTAGTCTATTCTGAGTCTGGAAGCTCTGCTGACACCTGTTCACTATGGGTGACTGCTGGTAGTTGAAATACCAGTGACAGCTCCCAGCATCACGGCATCCCAGCCAAAATAGACGAGTATTGGCAATTCTGAATCAGGCAGTTACTATGTGGGTATAACAAATTCAAGAGAAATGGCATTGCATTCATCATTTTAAAAAGGATATTTCAACATCTTGGAGTACAAATCTGCCTGTTACAGGATGATATCTATATTCATGCAAATAATCCAGTTACTGCAACAAGTACTCCTATTCACCAACCGCTAAAGCTAGTGATGAGGAAATTGAAGAGTGCTGCTATATCGACACGTCTTCGGTCTGAAATTGACCAAACAAGCCATCAGGACGCATGGATAATTACTAGTGATTGGAATGCAAAAGTCGGGAACAAAGAAGGAACAGCAGTTGGAATAAAAGGCCTTGGTGACAGAAACAAGCTGGGGATTAAGTGATAGACTGTTACAAGACCAGTGACTTCATCTCCAATAACCGTTTCACGACGCTTGTGAACCTCTATAGATGGAATACTCCAGAATCAAAGTGGCCACACCCATGGAAAGAGACAATACAGAAGCTCAACATCGGCAGCCCAAATGAGGCCACGGCTGAAGTAGAACAGATAATCAATGACTAATATATAAGTTCTGGACAGAAGCCAGAATGGTGTGGACGGAAGCAAGGATGGTGAGACTTTGTCCCATGTACTCTGGACATGTTGTCAGGAGAGACCAGTCTCTGGAGAGGGACATCTCGCTTGGTAAAGCAGAAGGGCTGCAAAGAAGACGATGACACTCAACAAGATGGATTGCCACAGTGACTGCAACAATAGGCTTGGGCATTAGACCCATTGTGAAGGCGGACCGGGACAGGGCCGGCGGTCTGCTGTGCACAGGGTCATCACTTGCTGGAACCTACTGGCTGACACCTGCAAACAATGAAGTCAGGGTGAAGCTGAAGGCAATGAGAACACGCTCGTGAGAGCCCAAGCACCACCTTGCGTCTGTCCCAGCTGCACTCCGAGAACAGCTAACAACAGACTTAAGTCACTGAACACGCCAAGCGCTTCGGGAGGACATCAGGAACATCATCCGTGAAGAAAGCAAACGTCATTGAAGAGTCAGGAGAGGATGAAAGAGCAGCATCAGAAGAGACTCTGACACTTACTCTAGACCACAGAGTAACTAAGGCAACCGGAAGAAATTATTAAAAAGCTGATTATAAAATGTCAAAGGGCAGCTCGAGAAGCCCAAGTAGAATATTAGAACAAAATATGCCAAGATCTAGAGTGAGATAAATGAAAGGGAAGGAATGCTCAGCATATGTGCAACTGAAAGAACTTGACAAAAAACTCAAGCCCTAGTTGTGATATTAAACGATTCTGTGCGCAAGATACTGACTGTAGGAAGCCTAACAAGAAGATGGAAGGATCACAGTCACTTTACCAAGAATCACTAGTTGATTTTCAACCAATTCCAGAGGTAGTGCAATGACCAAGAGCCAGTGGTACTGAAGGAAGAAATCCAAGCTGCACTGAGGCATGTGGCAGTGACATTACATCATCTCCTGTCCACCTGAGTGAAGGGGTGGAGTCTAGCCTGTCAATCATGTCATAGCCAAGGAGGCCTCTGGGTGGACTTGGCCTTCTCCTGAAGATTCTAGGAACTCCTGTCTTCCTCCCTGGAGGTGGGACACACTCTCTGCTACACATTCCTGTTGACAAGCCACATGCCGTCATGCTGATAGAACCAGAGCCTGGGAGCTGGAGGAGCCATGTGGAGACCCCTGCCAGCACTGAGACGCTTCCACCACCACTGGATCCACAGGACTTTCCACCCACTGGCCTGTGATCTTCCTGTATTTGGCGTCATTGCATGTATTGTGTGAATCTTAAGAGGACTTTATAGACTGGTTATCGGACATATAGGCTAATATCAGATTTAGGGACTTGCGCTGGACTGGGCTGGGATGTTTTCTTAAAATACAATTACTCTTAGATATAAAGCTCTCTGGATTTGTTTCTTTAGTCAACCCGGACTCACACAGCATTAGTAAAGACAAGGCTCCAGGAACTGAAAGAACGCCAGTTTAAATATTTCAACCAGCCGATGAGGCACTGGAAGCATTCACTCACCTATGGGAAGAGA